ATATGTACGATTCGTGGGTATTTCTCGTGCAACGCATCACACTGCAGCGAAACGCAACAAATGCGGGAGGAAGTAACTATGCCACCGTGAGGCAAAAAAAGTCAGGGGCATATGACCTGATTAAGACATCAATTTTTTTGAAATGTGGTGAAAAAAATGCCAGTACGACAAGGGTTAAGCAAGACTTTTTCATATTATCTGTATATATTAATTTTACTAGTCTATCTATCTATCTATTGTCTGCCTGTCCAGCCGGGGCCAAACAAGTACAGATTTCTCTCCATAGATCCTTGTCTAACATAGCATTTTCTAAACAATCAAAGTCAATACCAGTGTCTTTAACGAAAGAGTCTGTGAACTTCTGGAATGCACTCTGCCCCTCGGTTTCTACAGGAGGATGGTCGAGACTACCTCTTGCTACTTACTAGTAGTACTAGTAGTCAAATAAAGCAAGCCATATTATGCCAAAAAACAGTTACTCAAGCAACTGGATATGATTTTGAAAATCATATCATATCCAGTTGCTTGAGTAACTGTTTTTTGGCATATCGTATTACCTGGATGTCTAACCTTCATCGACAAGCCATATTATATACATTTTTTAATTGTGGTGCTTATGTAGTCACAATGTTTTTCTGAGAGTTGTTGGCTTTTGTTTCCTCAGGAGGTCCAAGAGTTTGTGATCCCCCTTCTTCTGAAGATACAACAGAACCAGTCAGACCCTCCCATCCCTTACTCCTGTGCTAAGTGTAGGAAGGGGCTGTACCAGCTCCTCCTGGCAGCTGTGCTGGTACTGCACCCCAGGTGGCCACCTCCCACCCAGTGTGCAGTGAAGATCTTCAGTGTTGGACAACAGGACTATGACTTACAGGTTATTGTCAATATCTGATAATATCCAAGGAGATACTATAAGGGAGTTTGTATGATAGATATTATCCATATAAGGCCACACCAATTTTATTTGTTGGCTCTCGGATTCGCCTCTTCATTTTTTTCTGATTTGGCCATGTTGATTTGATTATATGGATGACATCCGCGCGCGCATGAATTTTTGGCCGTTTCCAAAAAAAAAA